TAAAGAATAAATTTATCTTTTATGTATTTTCTTTTTTATTGACATCATCTTTAACTTAATACTACTATATATATAATATTCGATGCAATAATATACTTAATATTATTGCATCGAATTTATTTGAAAGAAGTTCATAAGCTTCATTTTTTCATTGTTTCATTTGTTTAATTAAAATATAAATTCATGTTTTTGCATCATTAAAACATTAAAACAATGAAATAACGATCTCTTTTCGTTAAAACACATTTAATGTTTTTTCTTTGCTAACACTAATAGAACTTTTATAACTTTTTAAGCAAATGTTTTTAAAAATTTAAACTTTTCTTTTTCTCAAATAAATATATAACTTTAATTAAGTTATAAATAATATATGTTATAATTTTAATAACAAAAACGTTAAACATTTTTAACAAAACATTTTAGGTTAACATTTAGAAAAGTTTTTTAAATGTTTTACTTCGACTGCCAAAACACAATTAAAAATATGTGAATAGTGATTATTTTGTTTTTAACGATAAGCAAACTATTCCATTCAAAACACAACATTTTTAGAAATATTTATTTCAAAATTAAATAAAAAACTTTTATTATTATACATATGGTTTTTAGAAAATGCTTTACAAAATTAAATTAACAACATTTCTCATAATATACATTTATTACACAGTTTAATAATTTGCATTTACTACACAATTTAATAATTTGCATTTATTACACAATTTAATATTATTAATAAACTTATATGAATAAATAAAACTTTATTTAATTTTGTTAAATGTTTGCTGTAAACATTTTATATAAAGAAGTCTTATTCACAAATCACCACTTGTTGTTTGTAGAAATTTGCACTCTAATTTCAACAGAATGACGTAAGTTAACATGAAAAAATGAGTTTTTAAATTGAAGTAACTTTTACAAAAGTAACAATTTACTAAAGTAAATTGAAGTATAACTTTATTATTTTACCTCAATTGAAAAAACGCAACTAAAGATATGTGAATAAAGATAATTTTGTTTTTAACAATAAGCGAACTCTTTTGTTTAATTAAACAAGAATCTTTAAAAAAAACTTTTTGTTAAAAAACTTTAATACAAAAACAAGTAAACCATTATTAGTTTTCTCCCTCCCAAATTTTTAGGACGAGCATGATTTTTTACTCTTGTAACTAAATTAGCGACCGTCTATTATCGCACCTGCAATTTATAAATATTCCATTAACGAGCGTGTTTCACGTGACGGGAGCGATCGCTCCTGCTTCATCCCAATGCCTGATATATATAATAAGGGTGGCCCAAAACAAAAAACTTTATTTTTAAATGTCTGCTCCCATTCACTAAATGTGTTCTATATAATAAATTAATATTGGAATTAAAAAATTTAAAAAAAAAAAAAATTTTAGGGGTCCCTCTGAACATCAGAGGGCTCCCTAATATCAAAAAAAAAAAAAAAAAGGGCTCCCTAATATTATCAAAAAAAAAAAAAAAATTTTTAATTTTTTAAAAAATTTTAAAAATTTCAAAAATTTTTAAAATTTAAAAAAAAAAAAATTTTTATAAAAAATTTTTATGAAAAAATTTATAAACATTTTATAAAAAACATGCAAGTATACAATCTTATAATTTTGATTTTTGTAGAAGATGTTTTTTCAACACTATAAAAAACCTAAACATACTTCTAGCTGCACTGAATTAGGAGATGTTAAATATTTTGAATTAAATATTTTGATACATTTGGATCCATAGACTTAAACTACTATAAGTTTCAGATATAAGCAACTTTTTACTTTCTCTGTGCCCTGGGTTTGAGTTATGGCTAAAGACTAATTACATCATGTTGCAAGGCATATGGGATAGTGTTAGCAATAATATCATGTTGCAAGTATATGGGATAGTGTTAGAAATAATGCATAAAATTTTAAAGACAACTTGAATAACCTTACAGGGTGATAGTCAGGAATATATTTTTTAGCAAATTTTTGCAATATTGGGAATATTTATTGATATTGTTTTACAAAATATTGGGAATTTTTAATAAAATTGTACTATTTCTTCATATAAAAAAAAAGAAAAAGAAAAGGTCATGCATTTTGGGAATTTTAAACACATTTGAAATTCCGCGTTATATGCAGTGTCATTGGGCTGCCTTAAAATTCAATTTTTGTTTAACTTGATGAGCGCAATAAATTCTAAAAAAATTGCTTTCTCTCGTTATTAGTTAAAAGTTTATAACTAACATCTTATAACAAGATAAAATTAATTGTCTACAAAATATAAGAAATGCTGCCATAAAAGTTCAAGTGCAAGGTGAAATTAATCAACAAAGCTATAATGAGATTTGAATAATAAATTGATAATAACTTGAAAATAATCAGTAAATGGCAAAAACTATTGTGTATAAAAACATGGAAAAAGAGTCGTAGCGTAAAAAAAAAGGTAGAACTCATTGTGTCTAACTATTTACTTGTAACAAAGTATAAATATTTTATTGTCCATGTATATCATGTAGTAACAGTTAATGTGAGATAAAAAGATTATGAGTACACAGTTTTTGTTTATTAAAGATTACTGATGATAAGATTTTTTTTTTTTCAGATTGTCTTGTAACTACTATATAAGATGAAATCTTTTTGTATTTAATATTTTAGAAGACAGAAATCATCTTAAATTGTAAATGGTTGCTGACAAAAATAATAAAAATAATATATATATTTTTTAACTGTTTCAAACTTTAATTGTTATTATTTAGTTTTAAAAATTTATTGTTTTTTTAGTTACATTTGTAATTATTTTCTTATCATTAATTATATGCAAATACGCTTTTGTTTCGCGTAATCAAAACAACAAAAAGCGGTCAAAATTCTTTTTTTCAAGAAATTAATTTTCATAAGACTTTCAACTTCGCAAAGCAGGTATTGTAAATATTATTTTTGCTATGTTTTAACAATTTAGAACCTTCTTTTATTTGAATATTCATTATATGCAATAACATAGTTGCATAAAAATATATAATTAGTTATACAACTATGTGTATGCGTAGCTATGTTCAAGTTAAAACAACTTTTTTTAAAGTACGCAGTTGTATAAAAAAAGATATGTTGAATATATTTTCTACAACTGTGAGGGAAATACTTAATATATATTTTTAATATTAGTTCATTTAATGTATATGTTTTTTTTTTTTTTGGTGTTGTTATAAATTTTACTGTTTTGAATTAGAACTGAATTAAAAAGTAAACTAAAATGATTTCACAATTTTTTTTCTTGGTTGTTAATGTTGTATACAACCATGGTTATCTATTAAAGAGTTCAGGTAACAAACTTTAAGTACCTTTAATTTATTTTATACCAAAAACTTTTATTTTTAAATTCATGCAGAATACAGAATCATGCAGTAACTATTATCATATTATCTAAATTTTCTATCCTCAGAATGTAGATAATTAAACAGTGGCGGAACTTCAAAATTTGGGCTCCCCCCGCAAAAAAATGTTTTTTTTGCGGAAAAGAGTTTTATAGTATAAATATTATTGAGAGTATAACTTTTTTTATATGAGGGCCCCCTATAGCTGGTAGGCCCCCCCGCAACGCAGGGTCCTGCGTCCAGTAGTTCCGCCACTGTAATTAAATAAATTAAAAAAATAATTAACTACAGTTATTTCTAGGAATGCAATAAAATAGAAATAGGAATATATTTTGTTTTTTGGCAATCTTGATAAACTATCAAACTAAACTAAATGTCTAAATAACTAGAAAAATATTTGCTTCACAAGTTAATGATTAAAAAAATTGAAAAACATAAATACTGCTTTTGAGTCTTTAAAATAAACGCGATTTTCGCGAAGTGCATTATATAGACTTGATAATTTATTCAAGTGCGTTTAATTCATAGGAGTTTTAGTACATGATGTCCTAGATTTTTTCTTGTTTGTTTAAAACACCGATTATTATTATTTACATACACTTTCCAAATCACATTCATTTTTATTATATTTTAACATTCTAAAATGTGTTTGTAAAAAAATTAAAAACAAAATTTTTAACCTAAAATAATAATGCACTTTTATTAATTTATTTTGTGAATATTAAAAAAAAAATATTTACAAAATAAATTAATAAAAGTGCTTTCATCTCTAATTCTTGTATTTTAACACACAAAAAGTTTTTGTGTGTGTGAAAATACAAGAATTAGAGATGAAAGCAATGGACAGGGCCAGATTTACCTATAGGCTGACTAAACTGTAGCCTAAAATAGGTTTTAAAAATGTTTCAATTTGCTAGGATTTTTAGAAAGTTATTAAAAAATATTTCTTTCACAATTGCAATGATTGCTACAAAACTATTTCCTTTGGAATGTGTTCAGCAATTAGACAAAGAGCCTAACTAAATGTTCAGTATTCAGCTATATTTACTTCATGGCATGGAAATTTTTTGTCATTTTACTAAAATAAAAGTTCTAAAACTGCTTATTGAATTAAATAAATATAAAATTTATTGATAACATAACTCAAGCAGAAATAATGTAACTTATAAAGTTTTTTTCTTTTCTTTCATCCATCCATTTTACTGCAACACTGGCTCCAAACACAGACTTCCAAATCTAACCTTTAACTTTGATTCAATGATTTCATTACATCAAAATAAAATAAAAAATTCTATATGCATGATCAACAACTCTTTAGACCTTCAGAAAATCTCTTGCTGATGTTCTCTTTAATCAAATTTTTATTTTTCACAAATTTTATTTAATTATGTTGTAAATATATGCAGTTAATAAATGGACCTTACGCTCTTTTATTTAAGTTTTTGATAAAAGAGCTTAAAAGGTTTTTCAAATAATAAAAAAATAATTTAACAAAGTTTAATATAGATATTATCAACTTTAGAAATGCAAAATGAACTTAAACAGTTTTAGAAAGAATAAACATTTAAACTTTTAAACAAGCTTTTAAACATTTAAACTTATAAACAAACTTTTAGAAATAAAAACAAAGTGTGAAAACCTTCTCTGTTTCCAGATTGTTGAGCTAATTTAATAGTATCAAAATTCAAATTTGATCGGCGCTTACGAGAATGATTCTGAACTCCAAAACTGTTACTAAAAGTAAAAACAATATTTTAAAGTTTAAAAGTATAATAATATTTTTTGTTAAAAACTATGTTTTTCTATATATGTATATATTATAAAAGCTATGCTTATTATAAGTTATGCATATATATATAAGCATGCTTGGTCAACTTTTTTCCCATAAAATGATTGCTTTAGTCTAAACTTTAAGATTGAAAAATAATTGCATTAAAAAAAAAGGAAATTAATTTATAAAACAATTAAAGTTAAACATATTTTTCTGCAAAACATGAGCCTAGATACTCAAGGCTCATGTTTTGGAGTTAAAAAGTTATGAGAGGTTTGCAAAAAAATATATATATGTATATATGTATATATATATATATATATATATATATATATATATATATATATATATATATATATATATATATATATACATATATATATACATATATATATACATATATATATATATATATATATATATACATATATATATACATATATATATAAAAAGAATATATATATATATATATATATATATATATATATATATATACATATATATATAAAAAGAACAAACAAACCTCCTTGACTAAAGTAGCCCCTGGGTCCTTTGGTAGGTATATACAGTAAAAAAAATACTCTTGCTTTATAGGATATTTAAGACTACATGACGAACACAATGATATGCTTGAATTAGAGGTTCATCAATAAATATTGAAACAAATAGCAAATTTCATAAAGGTAAATGGATTTGTAAAACCCTGTTAATGTATATATATATATATATATATATATATATATATATATATATATATATATACATATATATATACAGGAAGGCGTGCGATCATACAGCATTATATGACCACGCAAATAAAATATATATATATATACATATATATATATATATACAGGAAGGCGTGCGATCACACGCCATTATATGACCACGCAAATAAAACTTTATTTTGACAATTTGACCACGGTTTTTAACATTTTAAAAATGCGCTAAAAAAAATTATTTTCAAATATGTCAAAAAAAATACCTTAGAAACTCTTATCTTTATTAACGTTTTTATATTAGTGAAATGTTTTTAAATAAAGTAACAGTTACTGTTAACCTTTTAATTTAAAGTATAGATAAAAGTTGTATAAATTTCATCTATAATTTAAAAATGAAAGTTGTATAAATTTGTTGAGAAGAAAAGAAGACAAACTTTTGAATTAAAGGCAGCCGTTTGAATTAAATTTTGATCTTTACTATGTTTTTATATTTTTAAAACGCTTTTAAATAAAGTAACAATTTATTGCTAATGATTTTTTTACATTAAAGTATTAATGTAATTTTCTTTTGTCTTTAAATAAAAAAATTATTGAATAAAGTTAATATACTCAAAATAAAACAATTTTTTTTTGCAAGAATGCAAGTTGAAAAAAAATATATAAATATAACTTTATTTTTATGATTTTTTTTCTTTAGTCTAAATAAAAAACAATTAAATTATTAACAAATTAAATCAAATTATAAACTAAAGGAATAGTTTTGTTCATTATTTTTTGTTTTCATCTTCACTATTCCTCATTTGCTTTCTGATATTCCTTATTGGATTTCTGACAAAAAAAAGATTTAATTATTTTTCTTTTGTTTACATTACAACAAAGAACTGTAAAGTATTTTTTGTTATTGTCATCTTTTAAATGCGCATATTTATTAAAAAAACGTTGGAAGTTGTTACTTTGTTTAAAAGGGTTTTGCTATGTCTATATAATAAAGAAAAAAAATGTTTTTTTTGTTATTATAAAATATTATTTGAGTGATCATATAAAGCCGTGAAATTGCACGCCTTCCTGACCAAGCCTGTATATATATATATATATATATATATATATATATATATATATATATATATATATATATATATATATATATATATATATATATATATATATATATACATACATATCTGATAATATTAATACGCTAATTTAATATTATTAGTCGAATTACATCATTTTCTAGGCTTTTCTATTTTAAAGTAGTTTCTAGGCTTTTCTATAAGCGGGTTTTTTTTTAATTTTATTTACTAACAACGCGTATTACGGGTTGCTTACTGCTAGTATATTATTATTATAAATATATTTCAGACAACAGGCATATACAATCTAAGTGCCAGGTCCATAGTTTTTAAATAAAAAAATATTATTTTAAAATTTGATTAAGTGAATGCATGGAATTATTCACTAAGGTACAAGCCATCGACAAGCCATCATGTCTGTAGTTTAAGATAACTATATTTAAAGATGATAATCTGTACTATATATATATATATATATATATATATATATATATATATATATATATATATATATATATATATATATATATATATATATATATATATATATATATATATATATATATATATATATATACTCACATATTTGTATATTTAGCTTAGCGTAATTTGTCTTTGATGTCATAATACAGAAAAATGGCTTCTGTATATACATTACTTAAGGGTTAATGAGAAAAAAAACTTTATTTTTTTGCTTCTTTTTATGGGATATGTACAGATAAGCATTTTCAGACCTAAATCCCTACAGTTTTTTGCATAAAAAAAAAAACATAGAATAATAAAAAAAAATATTCTTGCCCCAACCCGAACCCTCAATCATATATCAGTGAATATATGTACTAAAGCCTCCACCATGTTAACTATGTATGTTAACTATAGTTTCTTTCAAAACAATACTTTAATAAATATATTTAAGTAACCACATGATTTATGTGGCAGCAAACACTATTTATTGTCTTACATGATTGGTTGTGAATTTTTATCTGAACCTTCTGTATTATAAATGCTATTAATCAACTCAAGACCAGACATATCAAGACTGTGCTTAAAGTTATCAAGCATGTCAGAAGATACCAGAGTCAGCAGAAAGAATATAATGCCATCAAACAATTTCTAAAATAGAAAAAAATATAATTGTTATCAAAAATAATTTACAAATTTGTTTAAAAATATATATATACTACTACTTTTTCATTATTAATATATTTTATAATAACACTATATTATTGCATTGCTACATTAACCAATAGGTAAGTATCTTATAGAATTATAGACTTGCTTAATGACTTTTATAACAAATTATTGGTGCATTTACTGGTACTAAAAAAATCTATATCTTCAAGAAAAGAAATTTCTTACTTGTATAAAAAAAGAATGAGTCAATTAATTAATATATTTTCACTTTAACAACTGATATATATATATATATATATATATATATATATATATATATATATATATATATATATATATATATATATATATATATATATATATATATATATATATATATATATATATATATATTAGAAAAGCCACAAGAAAAAAATAATTTTAAGGAAGATTTTGTATCTAAATCTATAGCGAGGGAGAGAGAAAGAGAGAGGGAAGAACAATTACAAACAGTTAAAAACTGACGAGGCTTAAAGACCGAACTGAAATGAAAAAGTAAAGCAGATCAAAAAGTTGATGTTGCTGAAAACAAAAATGCTTTAATCATAATTTTTAAAGGTTTTAAATGTGGTTTTAAAACAAAACAACAACAAAAAAATAGAATAAAAATCATAATGTATTACTTACCCTTGAAACTTATTTAAGGTGTTCTTAGCAAAGATTTTTCTCATAAATTCTTAATAAAAATCTTATGTTAAGCTTTATTCAAAGTGCAGAAGATTACTAGCAACATTTTCAGTAGCCATTTCTTGGTTTTTAGATATACCAATAATGTCAAGAAAACTCCATTTAATATTATTTATTTAAAGCACCTTACTGGATTTTTTTCTTCTTATTTAATAAGTTACATCCTCACATTTGAAAAGATTAAACTTAAAAAAAGAACTTCTATGTTTTTATTGATTAACTATTAAGAATTAATCAAATATATTAATATAATATAATAAATGGTTTATAATAAAACTTATTTACCTTTACCATTGTAGAAAATTTAAATCTCTTATTTAAATTAATTCACAATTTCCAATTATTCTATCATTTTTAATAATTATTATTACAGTTTCTAATTATTTTCTAAGTATTTGTTATTAACTCGGACTTGAATTCTCATATTTATTTGGTTTTGCCAAAACCGATTTAATTTATTTGAAAAATATTCAAAATTTTAGAATATCCCGCTTCTTTTTTTTTTTGGATAGTCGTCAACTAAATACGTCACGCGTAGGGTAGGGAGGGCGGATGGTTAGTAATTTTTCGACAAAGGTAGAGAGAAAGGAGAGGGTGTTTGATTTTGGTCAGGTAAAATCTAGAAAAACCTTCTTTTGATTAAAAACAGAGCTTAACCAAACATAAACCTTTAGATGATGTATGTACACTCCACTGCGGCTAAACTTAAATTAGAATTGACTTTTTAAATTGATATAAATTTTACTGGCAGAGCCGTCACGAGGGGGGCGTAGGGGTGTCTAGCCCAATACGAATTTCACTAGTCAGCTAATTAAACACTAGAGTCGGGAAAATTGGATTTATAGTTGACAGTCGGTAAATGTTGGAAAACGAGGACCTTATTTATTTCTATTTTATTTTTATTTTTGGGTAAGTTAGTGGGCAAAAAAAATTTTTAGGCTTTTCTAAAAAAAAACACTGTATCCCCCCCCCCCTTTAAAATCTCTTTGGGACGGCCCTGTTTATTAGTATTGACTTTTTAAATTGAATTCGTTTAGTCACTCTAAATTTATACATTTTTATATGGAGCTTTTTTTTTTTTTTATTTTCTTTTTCTTTTTTTTCTATTGGAGTGCAAAAAAATTTAATAAATGTACAGTCATGGCGCAATAGTTAGAGTTCTGGCTCAAAACCTAGTGGTCCGAGGTGTTCGGCCTCGACTCTAATAACAAAAAAAAAAAAAGTAAACAATAATTTGTTACAAAGCACCGTGCATTTATAAAGAAATGATGTCATTGTGTTATATAGGCCTTCTGCGCTATGTAATACAGTTTGATTGAGCAGCCGTGGCGCAGTGGTAGCGCACTTGTTTCAGAAACGTAAGATCCGTGGTTCAAACCCCACCTCTGGACAAGTTTTGCGACATCGGTTGGGAAGGAGGCGTGAACTTCCTATTAAATGCTCTTTCGCGGTGCTCTGTGATAAGACCGTAAGGACTTCTTGGGGCACCTAAATCAACATTAAAAAAAAAAAAAAAAATGTCCACGACTATTTTTATTCAAAACCAGCACTCAACCGATGCACCGCCTCTTCTTTCGACAATTAAAGAACTTGCAGTTTTAGTTGTCTGCAATTGAAAAAATATTTTAGTTGTCCGTTATTGAGAAAACTAAAAAACAGCATGTAAATTCAATAAATAAAGTAAGATTATTTAAATATAAAGGTATTTTATATTTACTAGGGAAATTATAAATTTACCCCGTAGCCATGATTTTTGTTATAAACCACGAATGTTAAATGGAACCAAGTGGATAGTCTAGGTATATGATTTTCTTTATATATTATGGTGTTTCAAGAATACCTCATAGCCTTAGTACAGAACACCGCAGAAGAAAACTTCATCAGTAAGTTCGCGCCTCCGTCCTTGCTGTCTACTTTATTTGTAAGGTATCAGCATTGTACCTCGAACCCTTTAGTTCTGACCCTAAACAATTACCATAGCGCTGGTGTTCGTAAATTTATAGTTATTATTTTGTGTGTTTTTTTTTTGTTTTTTTTTTGTTTGTTAATTAAATTAAATTCACATAACATGTCTCCTTTTTTTAAGTTTCATATTCCCTTCTTATTCGCAGCCGTGGCGCAGTGGTAGCGCACTTGTCTCAGAAACGTAAGATCCATAGTTCAAACCCCACCTTTGGGAAAGTTTTGCGACATCGGTTGGGAAAGAGGCGTGAACTTCCTATTAAATGCTCTTCCGCGGTGCTCTGTGATAAGACCGTAAGAACTTCTTGGGGCACCTAAATCAACATAAAAAAAAAAAAAAAAAAAAAAAAAAAAAAGTTCAAAAAAATATTGACAAACAGCCACTATTAAAAGAACCCCCTCCCCCTTTTTCTTATAGCGTGACGTAATTTATGGACGACCCTTAGCGAAAAAAAACCTCTTAAAAATCCAAAAATTTGTTCACAAAACTTTTCGCAAAATTTTTGGGTTTTTTAATGATATTGTTTTTTAATTTTTTAGTTTTAAAATAAATTATAAAAAATAAAATTTTTTAGTTTTTAGATAAAATATATAGAAGATTAATTCAGACAAATAAAGAAACTTGTACATCACATTAGTATGGACATGTCTTTATTAATGTTATGTAATCTTCCACACCAATATCATATTAGTATATACATGCAAAAGTTTTATTCATACTTTTACATATCTCAATCACGAAAAAAGTTTAATGCCAATTTCATGTTTAAAAAACATATACCCTATTTTTAAGAAGTATGTATAATTGCACTCTTAAAAAGTAAAAATAAACTAACTTACCATCTTCGCTTGAATGTATTTGTTAAAATTATAAAGGTGAAATCATACTGACTACTTAGAAAAAAATTAGATGAAAAACCCAAGGGAGTTGTCTTTTTTGTTTATGGGTTAATGACAAAGCAATTAGTTATATAAATAGTTATATAGCTTCATAAGTTGCTGACAAACTCCTTTGAGACAAAATATTTTTGATAAAAAAAATTTCAAAATTACAATTCACTATTATAATTTATTGTAAAATTATACAATAAATTATCATGTATGATAAGCATTAAAATTCATGTCGTGTCCGCTTTACTATTAAAATTCGTTTAATACAGAAAGATTAGCGTTCAAGTCTTGTATAGTGTATGTTGTATATTAACCATAAATTGATTAATCTCAAAATCTTATATTAAATACCATGATTATTTATTTTAACTTAATAATTCAGTCAATGTTTTGAGTGAAAAAAAAAATTTAAAATCAAAATGGTTAAACAGTTATCAGTCAAACTTATTAAATCGTATTAATCCAAAATATCAATTGATATTTTTCATTAGCGTTTCATTATTTTTGATTCAATCAATCAAAAAAATCCAAAACAAATAATTTCCTATCTTTACAACAAGCTAACGTTTATTATATAGCTAATGGTCACACTTCAGTAAAAAATAACAACAATATTAATTGATGGTAGCTTTATAGTTAACTCTTTGAACATATTTCTAGCTCAGTTTTCACAGTTCAAAATATAAGTTGTGTCCTAATTAAAAACAATTATTGAAGTTGTGTCTCCGTATCCACTGTTCTTAAAGGGCGTTATATTTAAAAATCCAGATAAAATATATCATTGCCATAAAATATGCGCAGACAGTATAAGTTAAATTATTTATTTGTCCCAATAATTCATTTGAAAAAGGAATTTTACTTTAACATTGGATATCAGTAAACATTACTCCGTTATTTAAAAAATAGGGACCGCTTGAACTCTAATAATTAGTCAAGCAATTTTATCAACTTTTCAGGTTGTCAACAACTGTGCTCTTTTCCGGTTCATCCAAGTCTGCCTCAGAATAACTCAATCCAATTTGAATTTATTGTCTATTTCTGATCAAAGACGATGTCAGCGCGACTGATTTTGTGGTTGCATAAGCACTGGATTGTGCATCTTATTATACGTTTGTCCAAACATTTACGACTTGTTCGTACCGTTATCTTTGGGAATATATCTCCTGGACTAGTCAGATCGTTTCTCAAACTTGAATACAGTGTTTCTGCATTATTGGAAGCGTGGCAATAAAATCTTGATCTTGGTCTTCCGAGTTGGTTCCTTGAACATCATCCGTGTTTAGGGCATCCATATACGTACATCCCTTTATAACAATGGCCAAGTTGCGGCGACCCCCACAATAACAATAAGATTGCTCCTAAATCATTGCGTTTTTCAAGTTAATAACTATGTTTTTTGACTTTTAAACTTTTTAATTTTATTTTTATTTTACAGGCATCATACTATGTTTTTGTTATGTTTCGGTTAATATTTGCAAAGGAATAAAATGTTTATATTGTAGACATTTTATAAGATCCCAACTTTAAATTTTTGAACTTTAATTTTCATGCAAAAATATCTTAGTGTTTAACAATTATGACTAAACCACCCTTAATTTGAGGGGGTAACAAATTTTGTAAGATCATAATTATTGAAAGCATAACTATTGAAAGCTAAGTTAAAATTTTTTGAAAAATATAAACTTGGTTAAAAAATAGTAAAAAAAAAGTTTTGTCAACTTGGCAGGTGTAATTAATATTTTCGGGTTTTTTTATTCCCAGCCTCTAATCATTGCAATTTTTTTGCAAAGCATTCCTATTTGACATAAGTATAAACATATAAATGTTAGTAGTTTTTTCCATGTCTGGAAAATGACTTCAAAAAATCCTGTATCAGCCCCTTAAAAGGGTTAGTTACACAACAAATTTTATATATGACTTGTTTATATTGTTTTAGATTTTGTTATTTTATACATGTGCTTTGTGGTTTCACAATGTGTTTGAATCTGTTATATAGTTAAAAATTTTATATTGTTACTTGCATTTGTTTTAACGTGTATATTTGTTCTTGTTTTGATTTATTATTATTTCACTTTAATCCATAAAATATAGATTCAATAGATTAATGTGAAGAAAATAATAAAGACTATTTTGTACCACTTTTATTTTTTGTTACATTTTTATATAATTTACTTTTTATTGAAGATTTCCTTTTTGCATTAAAGTTTCATATTTATTGAAGATTTTCTTTTTGCATTAAAATTCCATATTTAGAAAATAATTTTAGTAGTTTAACAAAATTTCTATTAAAAAATTTGTTAATGAAAAATTAGCGAAAAAAGGTTTTTATAGGGTTATTAGTTAAGTTAAGATTTTAATTATTTATTT